GGGGATGTCCCGCTTCTGATCTCCGCCTTGTAGCTTCCCTCCTGCCAGTGTCCAGCTGCAGGCATCCTTTCCTAGGAATACTTTCCTCCCCTGACCCCACGAAACAACCACCATGGACACGATGGTTTGTGTTGCCCCTCCATGAGCCAGTGCTTGCCCTGTGGGTGGCAGCTGCCGAGGGGTGGGGTGGGGTGGGGTCTCCGTCACTGCAAGGTGGGGCTGATGGCCCTTTCTTTCCTCCTCCTGCTGCTGGTACTGCAGTGTGCTGTCTGGATGTCTCCAGTGGATGTGTTGTGACGAAGTTGTGGGGTGAGTGCACGGCACAGAAGAGACTTCTATCACTGCCCTGCGGGCCCAGGCCCTCACTGGCCTGTACTGTCCTAGCCCCGCTGGCCGCTGTTGGTAGAAACACCAGGTGCCTGTACCGCTGTGGATGGCAGTATGTTCAGAACCTGTGCACGCTCGCTGATGAAAATCAACAGGGCCTGGGATGGATGGGAGGGAGCACGAGGACACAGCTAGCCAGGGGGCGTCAGCTTGGTGCATAGAAGGCTGGAGGGCCAGGCCCCTGGGTGTGTAGGTGGCTGTCCCACAGTTTTGCGGGGAATAGAGCCTTTCCCCAAATTCTCAGTAGCCCCATAAGTACTTGCTGCCTGTCCCGGGCCTTGGGGTCCCAAGGAAACTGAGAACTCTGTTTCATTTGCTCGACAGGAAAGAGTCCATCTTCTCCCTGTGAACCTCAGGTTGTTGTGGAGTAGATGAGAGAAAATACAGCAGAAAGCGTGTCAGTGAATACTTGGCACCCAAGAAATGATCGCGTTTAGCTACTATCGCCTCCACCGCCACCATCATCTCATCCTCAGCACCAGTGGCTTCTGCCCTGCCCAGTCTGTGTTTGGGGACACCTGTTACATGGCCCGAAGCCTCCTTGGGAAGGTGTAGACCATGAGCAGAGAGCAGCCTGACGTCTGGGGAGGAGTGGTCAGGCCAGGGCAGGGGTGGGTGCAGGGGACCTGGGAGGCTGAGGCTGGAACCTGGACAGGGAGGGGTGCGTCTCTGCACACGTGCGTCGGAGGGAACTGATGGGCACACGTGGGGCGGGTGTGCCACAGCGACAGGCCTGAGACGTGTGGGCTCCGTGGTCAGTGGCCTTGGGCGGGAAGATGCGTGTGCAGAGGGAGTGCGAGCTGGGCGTCAGGTCCTAGCTCTCGCCTGTGCACCACTGGGGCAGATGCTGTCCCAGGTCCCGCCTGCCCGTGGCTCTGCCCTGGAGCCTGCCTTATGGAGTCACCGTGACATCAGTGCTGAGATGCGGGTGCCCAGGTGGCAGACAAGGCACTCATTCTGGGCCCCATGGTGCGTGGCCCTCCTGAAGACCATCACAAAGTCACTACTGCTCGTGACCGTGGACCCAGGAAGCCTGGCACAGAACAAGACCTAATTCTGTCCTCCCCTCAGGCTGTGGGTCCCTACTCCCTTTCCAGACTCAGGAGTGGACAGAGGATGCCTGAGGAGGGGAGGTGGACTAGCTGTCATGGAGCTTTTCTCTGTTACTAGAGTTCCGCGGTTCTATCGGGAGGCAAGTTGTTGCATGGAGCCTCGGGTGCAGGACACTCGGTGGGCGGGCAGGCAGGCAGCCTTTTCCCCGCAGGGTGTCTGGCAATTTCAGGGAAAGCTCTGGGCCATGTTCTCAGGGCTGTGTGGCACGTGTGGGGTGACCCAGGCACTGGGGAATAGCGCTCTTAGACCCCGGTTGGCTCCTTGTAGGTTGTATCCTTTTCTTACTGTTCTGAGATAGGAGGGGGATGGTGTCACATCCCCATGCGGACTGCAGGAGGACAAAGTGAAGGAAGACCAGGACATGACGTGGGTGTCTTGTGACCGGAAGAAGAGCACTGTAAAATGTCACTGTTGGAGAGAATAAAGGGTGAAGATGACGTCACAGACCCCAAGAGGAAAAGGTAAGGGTTGAAGTCAGCAGAGCTGCACAAAGTGACATCTATCAGTGGGGACGTCACTTAACACAGGGCAGCAGTCTGGGTGAAAAGTATCCCGTCAAGAGGCTGTTCCCACAGAACACAACCCAACACAAGTCAGTGACACTGTGATCTTGGCCCAGAATGCTCAGACTCCAGCCCAGAGAAACCCAACAAACTCTCCTGTGAAGGAAATGAGATTTAAACAGTGATAGCTCCTAGACTTTATTAACTCATTTATGATACTCATCTGGATCTAATTAGGCGAGGTTACCCTGGAGTAACACGCCAACTTCAAGCTACAAAGGCTGAGTTCTTTTCTGGCTTAGTGGTGCAGGTGTCCAGTGGCATCTCCAAAGCTGACTCTGCAGACACGTGGGTTTGGCAGTCGGGCTCTAGGTGAAGGAAGCACCATGCACGCTCTGGTTCCTCTGCCCCACGTCCTCGGGACTCTGCCAGTGGGAGGGTTACTCCGGGTGACTTCCCTGTGCTTGTCTACCCATAGGACCTTGTGGCTGAGCCAGGACCTTGATTCGGGGACAGGAGTTGGCAGAGGTGTTCGACTCGTCCTTGGCAGTAGATGCCAATCTTCCTTTCTCCTGGGGAGCTTCACTCCTTCAGAAATATCCAGTCTGAAACAAGGCTTGGGGAAGGACTGTCCTGTATCTTCCTCTTCCTGCGTTTTGGGAACCCCAGATAGAAGCCTCCTGCAGACTCCAGTGAAGCTGCTGCCACCTTTCTGTTTGCTTGTTTCCCTGTATCGGCCCAGTTTTTTTTTTCCCCCTGAACAGATCATTAGCAATTGCTTTATCAGTGACTCGCATGAGTTCATCTCTGACCATCAGGTCTCCAAGGGACACTGATCTTGTCCCTGGGTGAACCAGAGCCCCAACTCTGGACTCTTGTCATAGGCTGGCAGCACAGATAGAGGTGACACAAGGTTTTTAAAAAATCTGGACCTAGGCCTCCATGCAGCCAGTGTGACTGTCAGAATAGGGATGGGAAGGGGGTTGTCTGGGTCTGGGCTCCTAAAAGCTGACTCAGAGATGAAGATCTGCAAGTAGTTTGTTGGAGAGGGGACCTGAAAGACAGGCAAGACGAGGAAGGCAGCAGAATGGGCACTGGAGCTTAGGCCGGTGGGTGACACTGGGAGGCGGTGTAGGATGCACCCTGGAGTTGCCCCGTTTATCCACTTTCCCTGTTGTTGCTGAGGGCTACCTCCATCCAGGTGAGTTAGGTGACACTGGTGTCTGGAAGGAGCCGTAAAGCAGGGACGGGAGCTGGCAGACTTGGTGTGGAGATGGGAGTGGGCACTGTAGGGGCCACTGCTTTTCCTGTCCAGCCAGGCAGCCCTATAGCTTGGGCGTCGGCTGTTGCTGCAGGGTAACCACTAGCTCAGTGTACTTCTGTGCAGATTCACACTGTGGTCCTGCTGGGCAGGTCTGAGTGCAGGCCCTACCCAGGCCAGGTTGTCCTGTGGGAAGCTAAGTGCAAGGTAAATGCAAGCTCCACTTGTGCTCCCTGCCAGGGAGCCTTGGTTGGTGAACAAACTGCACAACTGTGTCCAACAGCCCTGCCTGCAGGTGAGCACAGGCTGTCCAGGGAGATACCTACAACTGTTTCTCTCCTGGGTCAAGCAACTTCTGTTCACTTGGCTGGGGTCCTCATGACTCCTGGATGCACAGAGCTCTCTGCGCTTCCTTCCCCCTACTTTGGGGCTTGGGAAACAAAAGATCTGGAAGAGGAACACTTGGGTAGCCACAGGCTTCTCTGGTCCTGCTTCCCTCTCCTGAGGCAGTAAGCCAACTTCATGCCAGATGCAGGAAGGAGAAATTCAGAGAACAGAGAACTATTCTACCACACTTACAGGATAAGCCGCCGTGTGCTGGATCCTCACAATGTCCTGGCTCTCTCAAGCAATTTCCATGCTCTGTCTCAGCTTCTCAAACATCTTTGGGGACTGGTGGGGACGTAGCTCTGTGGTAGAAGCATTAGTCTGATGTGTAAAGTGTGGGTTCCACACCCAGCACAAAACAAAACCCCAAACCACCTGGGATTAGTTCTGTGATTATCATTACTTTGCAGACAAATCTGAGGCTCTCAAGTTAGGCAGCTTGCCTATTTGCCTCCGATTCAGAAACAGAGTGAGGACTGGGAGCCTTCAGAGGCAGGGAGGGTGGTGTCCTTTGGAGTACAGCCTCTGTTGTGACGGATTTTCTTCCCAGGTTTTGAACGTCGCACACGTGGCCCGAGTACACCTTTGGGCCTGGCTTCTTTGCCTCCACGCTTCAGCTGTGCCGCTGTGGGTTGCAGTTGTGCTCCTTTCCCACCACTGTGTTCCTCTTTGTGACTATACCATTTCTTTCATAAATCTTTTCTTCAGAGAATAGATGCATAGGTCATTTCCAGCTTGGGACTTAGGAAAACTGTTGGTGATATTTTTGTTCACGTGCTAGTGGACTTAAGCTTTCGTCTTGTGTGAGGTGAAGAGTCAGTGGGTCACAGGATATTCCTGTGTTTAGGTTTTATAAATACTGCTAACGTGGTTGTATTACTGAGCAATGTACAAGAAGGGTTCCAGCTGCCACATCCTTGACAGGCTTGGTATTCTCTACCTTTTTAATTTCAGTGATTCTTAGGTAGTTAGGGATAGCGATAAAGTAATTTTTACATCAAACAACAAAAGGGGTTCTCAGTGTTGAGGGCCAGAGCTCCCAGGGACACACAAGTCTGTTTTCTGTGCCCTGCTAATCTATGGTGATGTTTTAATGGGCTCAGGAGGAAAATGGAGACACAGAGGAGCCACATACACATCCTGATAGTGGCAGTACTCAGCACTAAGGCAGGGTGCCTCCAACTCCATGCAGGTGTTGATCAGATGTGCTGGCCCTGACAGATCGTGATGCCACGATTTAAATAAACCAAGAGCCAGGAGTGGTGGTGCATGCCTGTAATCCCAGCACTTGGGAGGCTGAGGCAGGAGGACTGCTGTGAGTTCAAGACGAGCCTGGGCTACATAGAGAGTTCCAGGTCAGTCTCAACTACATAGTGAAATCCTGTCTCAAAACAACAACAAAAAAGCCAAGAAATCCAAGTAGTACCTGGACACATCCTCTGGCCTTCTGACTGGAATGCCTGCCCATCAGGGCTGGAGTTGCACATTAACAGTTCTGGCAAATACCGACATTAATGGAGAGTATTACAGCCACAACCATTTCCAAGAAATACAAACTGCAATTTGATATTATTTAAAGAACAAAGCTGGCCGGGGATTTAGCTCAGAGGTGCCACTGCCTACCTTGCAGGCACAAGGTCCCAAGTTCAATCCCCGGTACCCCCCGCCCCCACCAAAGCCTTTTTACTGAGTGCCTCGCAAGCACTTTTACTAAAATGTAAAGACATACACCATGTCCACTTCACAACTGCCCAAAATACACATGAGGAATGAGGGAGACTAAAAGGAAAAAACAGGCTAGAGGACTGGGTTCAAAGATCTCCCGGACTAGATGACAGGTGTCTGAATCCCACGATCTTTATAAACCCCAGCTTGTTCAAGACATACACATTTCCCAGGAAATCACAAAGCCCTTCAGTAGGGGTGTCAGATTTGGCGCGTAGTAATTTATTTGAATTTCAGATAAGTGACGGAATGGACGTATGTCCGAGATATCTTAAGGATGTTCTTATACTAGGAAACCTGACAACCTCGGTAGGGCTTGGTGGCATACACCTGTAACACCAGCACCCTGGGAGGCTGAGACAGTAGGATCTCGAATTGGAACCAAACCTAGCCAACTTAAGCGATTCAGAGAGACGCTGTCTCAAAATAATTAACAAAATTTAAAGGGGCTGGAAATGTAGTTCAGTGCAAAAACCTTGGGTTTCCCGGATGGGGAAAAAATAAATTTGTCCACCTGAGCCGCGTTACCAGCCTCCCGTCCCTCTCTCAACCCTCCCGCGCCCGCGCAGGGCTTCTCCCACTTTTCTCTCTCCTTGCAGGGGACGAAGACGCCGGCTGGGACGCCCCACCGACGCACAGTCTCGTTGTCAGGTCGTCCAGCAGGCAAGGTTAGGGAAAGGCCACCGCAGAGCGTGCCGAGCGCCCAGCCCTGTAGCGCATCTGTCCACTCTGACCCGCCGGCCAGAGCCCTGCCGCGGGGGGCCAATCAGCTGCCAGCTAAGTGCACGTCCATACAAGGCATCACCTGAATGGCTAAGCTCGAGCCAATCAGTGGGACGTACGGGAGGCAAGCGTGATTCCGAGGTGCAAGCCGGGAAAACGGCTGCAGCCTGTGACGTAAAAGCTGCTGCGAGCCCTGAGCGCGTGAGAGCCTGGCTCCGGTTCCACTGTCGTCCTTTTCGCCCTTATGTTACGGTTTTCGAAGCCCCAGAGCCTCGCGGAGACAGTTCGGCTCCGTAGCATTCACACATCAAAACGCATCATGACGCGGGAGGCCGCTCCTGAGCCGCGCAGGTGACCCGAGCGCCCTGAGCCCAAGCGCGAAAAGGCAGCTTATGGAGTGGTAGAACCGCAGATGTCAGGACGGGGCCTTCAGGCATCCGTGTCTCGAGGTGCCCGAGGACTAGTTCTCCGGCGGGTGACCATCTCTCAGCCTCCTTTCCTTTGTATCGGTTCTCGTGGGAGGCAGCATCACCAGGATCTCTTGAGCTTTCCATGCTATCAGAATAGTCACCTCAACAAAGGGGAAGCGCGCCTTCTCCCCGTTGCTCCAGCTCAGAGGCCCGCGGTGGAGTCTAAGGCCAGGCCGGGAGAGGTGGGTCTGCCTCACCTGAAACGTGTGGGCTGAGGTGGGCGTGGGCCACCCTCCAGAAAACTGCGAGGCTGTTGTTACCAGAGGGGTGTGGACGTTGCATGGGATGAGACCTACTCCCCCACCCCGGGCACGCATCAGCTTGAGGACAAGGGATGTAGCTCAGTGGCAGAGCAGTTGCCTGCCTACCTACCGTATGTGAAGCCTTGGGTTTGATCCCCAGCGCTGGAACGAAAAGAAAAGGCTCAAGCTTTCAGTCAAGCTTCAGCCTGAAGCTGTTAACTCTAAATAAAATAGCAGCAACGAATGTTATATAATGAAAGAAAAACCACTCAGGTCATAAAAGTTTCCAGTTTCCTTATTCCAAAGCACCTACTCAACTCGCTATAGAGAGGCCACGCTTTACTTTGGGTTTTATGCCTGGTGGGGACTCTGGCCAACAATGTAGCACTTTGTTGGGAGAAAATGGGATTGAGTGACCAGACTGTGTAGCCCCAAATGCTCTGTTGTCCTACAGACAAAGCACCCTGGTTTTTACACTGGAAGGAGTTCTGTGCGGTTTGACAGCATGTCCCTCCAGTGTTCCACTCAGTTTGGGGTGTCTGATCAAGTATCAGTGGGCAGTTGGCAGCCCACCTCTCGGAAAGTCCTCACTAGGTTGGACTCAAGTCTTTCCTGACGGGCCTAGCGCAAGTTTAGCTGGTGTGTATTGGTGGGAACTGGCTTGGGAGTGAGGAGTCCAGAGCAACCAGTACCCCGGAGCCCAGCTAAGCACAAGAGGTCTCCGGCTTATCACCCTCAGCCCCTTGGGCCTCAGAAAGATGGCCCTGCCTCTCAGGACTTTGAGCGAAGAGTCAGGTCCAGCAAGGCAGCTCAGACGCTCTCCCATCAGGCTGCCCTCAATGTCCACAGAGCTCAGAGTGTTTTGAGCCTCCTTGTTCTTCTTTTCTAGTAAGAACACATGTCCGACCTTCAGGAAAAAAGTGTACTTCACAAATCATCCAGTAAGGAAGCAAACCAACTCTGTGGGAGTAGTGGAGGATGTAGGACCAGGAAAGGGTCACCCGACATGGAAGTGTGTGGTTGCAGGGCCCATCACTGATCCCTAAAAATGTCTGTGTAGGCTCATCCTCTTCCCCTCAGTGCTTAGAACACCTGAGTCTGGGAAAACCAGCAGAGCCCTCTGTGCAGCAGCTACCTGCTTGGCCATCAGCACCTTCACCTACCCCTAGAGGAGATGACAACCTCAGCAAACAGCGCTCTGTGAGGAACAGCACTGTGAACCCCTGAGCACTCAGCTGCCCATTGGCTCCCAGAGTTGTCTGACCTCTGCTTTTGTCAGAAGGGGTCTGGGACTCGTTCACTCACACAGGGCAGCAGGACGTGGCCGAGAGCCCCACGTACACACCTAGCCCGCAGGCTTTGTGGGCCTTACCACCAGCCACATAGTCTGTCTTTTTCTGAGCCGTAGGAGGAGCTGGGCGCTGTCCCTTCTCCTGGACACTCTCCCTCTGGCTATTGATTTGAGTCTAGACAGTCCCTTGCCTTACATTAGAGATGCTGTGTGATATTTCATCCCGTCCTTTCTCGATCTCACTTAGTGCTCCAACCTGGTGAGTAACCCAGGCCGCCCCCAAGAGTGTGTCTGCTGCAAGTGCCGTGCCAGATTCATGGGCCACCTTCCTGTGCCCAGGGCTGAGGCAGCATTGCCCTACTGAGTCCCTGTGTCCTTGAGATCCCGAAAACAGGTAGGTGACTTGCCAGGGGTCTTTACCAAGGGCCCGGGGTGAATGTCAGAATTATAAGCATTGTATGAGTGATATTTTAGGGTTTCTGGAATACAGTGTGAGGTTTTTAAACAGATTAACAATATATTTATGGAGGTATCATTTTTTATTTTTATTTTTTGGTACCGGGGATCAAACTCCAGTCCTTGGACTTGCAGGGCAGGCGGTGGGTGGCACCATTGAGCTGAACCCCTGGCCCAATGGAGGTATGATTGCTAAGCTGTACATATATAAACATTTGTGCACACTTAGATGAGTGTAAACGCTTGTGGTAAGGTTCAACAAACACATCCCGGGGAAAGCACAGCACCAGCCCCACACTGAGCCTGCACACAGCCCTTCAAGATTTCTACCTTAGTTTCTGTTCTCTTAGTTCCCAGGCAGGGTTCTGCCTTCCCTGGCAGTCTGCTTTCTGCCACTCTGGCTTTGCTAGCATTTCTTAGAATTTTATATATGGTCTTATATACTCTGTACCTTTTGTTGGGCTCCTTTACTTAGCACAGTTATTCTGAGATGTTTGGGGGAGGGGAGTTTTTCTTTTTTTAAAAAATTAATTTTATTGGTGCATTTTAGGTGTACATTCATCGGAGATTTGTGCATGACAGATCTTGATTCTTATTTTTTCCCCACTCTCCTGCCCTCCCTCAACTCCTCCACCCCTCTCTATGTACAAAGACTTTGGTTCCATTTTTTCGTGTTAATTCCATTCCCTTCTTTCCTTTCCCGACCCCTACCCCTCCCACTTCCCCTTTGAACCTTTTCTTCCTATTTCACGTGATCTATTATACATTTTGATCCTTATTTACAGTTTCAATTCTCACACCAGAGAAGCTGTTTGGTATTTACACGTGTGTCCCATTTATTTCACGTAAGAGTATGGCCTCAGTGTGCATCCATTTAGCTATGAATGTCTCTACTTTCTCATTATTTCTGGCTGAGTAGTATTCCATTTTATGTGTATTAAAAATAACACATTTTCTTTGTCCAGCCTCCAGTTGATTGGCAACTGGGCTGTTTCTAGGATTTAGCTATTACAAACTGTGCCGTTATGAACATGGGTGTGCATGTATTACTGTGGTATGATGCTTTTAATTCTTTGGGGAAGATACCCAGCAGGGGACTAAGATTCTGAGATTCTTCTGTGAGGCTGTGCACCTCAGCAGTTCCTTTTCATTGTTGCGCAGTGTTCTGTCACGTGAACAGATGGTGTTTATGTTCATCAGAGGGATGGACATTTTTATCTGCCAGATAAAGCTGCTAAGAATATTTGTGTACAGGCCTTTGAAGGACATGTACCGTTGTTTTCCTGTGGGAAATATCTAGGAGTGGAACTGCCAGTGTATGTTTGAATTTTTAAAATTTAATTGTCCATTTTGCAGTACTGGGGATCAAACTCAGGACCTTGCGCTTGCCAGGCAGACACTGTGCCACTGAGCTAAATCCTGGCCGTCTTTAACTTTTTTTTTTTTCCTAGTACCAGAGATTGAACTCAGGACCTTGTGCTTGCAAGACAGGTGTGGTACCCCTGAGCTACATCCCCAGCCCGTCCTATTTAAGTTTTTTTGAAAAAACTGCCAACCATTTTCTCAAGTGGCCGCACCATTTCACCTTTCCGTCAGGAGCGTGCAGAGGTCCACTTCCTTCCCAGCTCCGGAGCCTGTCGTGGTCAGGCTTTACATTTACTGTCTTCCCGGCTGCGCATCCACCTGCCAGAGCCTGGCAGCTGCAGGTCTGTGACAGCAATGCTGAGGCCCCTCCCGGCGTCCTCCCTCCGTTCTTGCTCTGCAGTGGCTGTCCAGGGGTGTGCACAGTGAACACGTGGGGTTTCTGTTATGGACTTTTATGAGGTCTCTGTGTATTCTGGACACGGTTCCTTTATCATGTTCCGTTTGTATTTTCTCACGTCCTTGGCTTGACCTGCTTTTCTTACCAGTACCTTTCAGAGCAAGGTTTAAACTCCCATAATGCGGGGCCTATCCATTTGACCCTTCCTGCCTCTCACTGAGGTGTGCCATCTTGTCTGCTTGGGTCAGGGCACTTTGTCCTGTGAGCAAACTGGGTTCTTTTCATGGGGGTGGGGCAAGAAGTGCCTGCTGAGTGGGCAGCCACAGCCTGTCGCCAGTGCTATCAGCTCTGGTGCCCATGTCCTGGTGTCTCAGGCAGGCGTGTGCAGCCTCCTGCCCTTTCCAGCCCAGCAGCCTGTGCATTCTCCTGCTGGGCACGCTGGGCCAGGGCCTGCGGGCAGGGCAGCATCCTGTTTGCTCCTAGCACAGCAGCCACTGGCAGAGTGGCCCAAAGAGTGCTGGAGGCAGGGCAGGGACTGGCCAGGCTGTCCTTATCGGGCCACAGTAAAAGCCCAGGCAGGGCCTCAATGGAAGGGTACAGAGATGGAGGGAAGTTGTTTCTTGTCCTTTGCGGGTGTCCGGGCTGCTCGGTCACTGCTGACAGAGGTGCACACGTCCTCAGTGCAGATGCAGAGCGTGGGTTGTGTCCCCAGGGCGGGGCTGCCGGACCAAAGGCTGTGTCTGTCTCAGGACTGGTACATTTTGTCAGATGCCAACAGAGCCCTCTTCACAGCCAGGCACAGGAGGCACAGAGAGGCTGCTGGAGGGCGCGCCTCGGCTCAGGACAGAGCCTGCTCTCCCCACGCGGCCTGCCTGGGGCCTGGGGCTGTCCCTGCCAATGCTGGGCAGGTGGACCACAGAGGTCTGTGTGGCCCACCTCTGGGACATCATGCTAGCTGGGTGGCTGGCTGTGCCCATGGCAGGGGAGCAGAGAGGAGCCCTGGGGTGTCCTGTTGCTCCCCCTCCATTGGGACTTCCAGCCAGGCCCCACTCCCTTTGAACCTTCTCTTCCCCTCTCCTGGTAGACCCTGCAGATGGTCCAGCCTCACATCTCCACGCCCAGCAAGGCCTGCCTCTGCCTGTGCCACTGCTTTGGGGGCCTGTTCCCGATGCCCAGTGGCCAGGCTGTGATGCCCTACTGGTTACCCCGGGGGCTGAGATCATAGAAGAAGGTAAGGAGGCTCAGAGGACAGCAAGGGCTGAACAGGGAAGGGTGCGAAGATGAAGGGTACCCGGTGTTCCCTGCTGCGGAGCCAGAGAGGGTTCTGGCAGCTGTGGCGCTGCTCAGTGCCAAGGCCAGCATGAGGCTGGAGGCAGTGGGGTTCTTGGTGGCTGCCAGGAAGCCTGGGTGCTGTTCTCCCCTGTGCTGCTGCCATCTCCTCTGCCCTCCTGTCTGTCTGCTCCTTTTCCTCTCCCTTCTCCCACTCTTGCTCCCCACTCGTCCGTCACCTGGTCCTCTCTCTCTCTGGTCTCTCTCTCTACTTCTCCAGGGCCTGCACGGGTGGCCCAGGGCGCGCCCGGCAGGGACCATGACTTGCTCTGACAGCCCCCCAGCTGAGTTCCAGGGCAGGGCTGCTGGGATCCAGGCCCAGCCCTCCTCCAGCCCGGGGCTTTCCGGGGCCCAGTCACAGAGTGGCCAGCTGCCCCGAGGGGAGACCTGCAGGCCCTTGGCACTGAGACTGTGCTGGCCCTCTGAGCAGCCACACCTTCGGAGGCCGCCTCGGGGCTGGCGTGTTCATCTGAGACCTTGTCTTTGAGGCAGCAAAGTTTTATTTATTTTTCCCTTTAAGATTATTGGCACATTTTAGGTGTGCGTTATGATCACATTCATCGTGGGAGATCTGTACCTGGGCATGTCATATCTTGATTCTTGTTTTTTCCCCCATCTTCCTTCCCTTCCACCCCTCCCTATTTACAAAAAGTTTTGTTTCCGTTTTTTTACTTCTTTTCTCATATTTTTTCTCTCGCTCCCCCCTCTTCCCTTTTGGACCTTTTCTTCCTATGTCACATTATCTATTATACATTTTGGTCCTCATTTACACTTTCAGTTTCTCACACTGGAGAGACTACACGTGTGTCCTATTTATTTCACTGAAGAGTATTACCTCAGTGTTCATCCATTCACCTATAAATGTCTAGCCATTCTTTATGACTGAGTAGTACTCCATTTATTAAAAAACCAAATCTTCTTTATCCAGTCACCAGTTGATGGCCATTTAGGCTGTTTTTAGACTGTGCTGCTATGAACATGGGTGCACATATATCATTATGGTGTGATTCTTTTAATTCTTTTGGGAAGATACCCAGCAGGGGAATAGCTGGGTCAGATGGGACCTCTAATCCTAGTTCTTTGAGGAGTCTCCACACTGATTGCCACAGGGGTTGCGCCAGTCTGCAGTCCTACCAACAGTGCAGCAGGGCTCCTTCCTCCCCACAGCCCTGCCAGCATTCGTATTTGTTGACTGATTCATAGCAGCGCTTCTTTCTGGGGCAAGATGGAATCTTAGTGTTGTCTCAGTTTGCATCTCTCGAATGACCTGTGATGTTGAGCATTTTTTCGTATGTTTACTTGCTATTTTTTTTGTTCGTTCTTTTGTTTTTTGAGACAGGGTCTCACTGTGTAGTTGAGACTGACCTGGAACTCACTATGTAGCCCAGGCTGGTCTCAAACTCAGCGATCCTCCTGCCTCAGCCTCCCAAGTGCTGGGAGTACAGGCGTACGCCACCACACCAGGCTTTACTTGCTATTTTTGCTTCTTTGTCTGAGAAGTGTCTGTTCACTTCAGAAGCCCAGTTTTGGATGGGGTCTTTAAATTTGGGGGGCAGCAGAGTGTTAAGGTGTGCCAGGCGACTCAGCGTGCATGCGTCTTCCATCGTGCCCTCCTTAGGAAAGTGGTCTCACGAACTTCCTGGTGGGGTGGGAGCCTCCTCTCATCTGAGACACCTGCAGAATGAAGACCGTGCCGGTGACACGGCTGTGCCTCCTCTGCTCCCACGTCGCATCCCTGTCGCCCACAGTCTTTCCCTGGTGACCCGGAGAAGCTGCAGACCCCCGGACAAGCTTTACCTGTCTGTGTAACCCTCTGTCCGCTGGGGTTAGGTGGTGTGACAGGTGTG